TGTGTTATGTTAAACGATTTGGGCGCTGAGAAATATATTTTCTGTATACTTCAACAGCATTCACGCAAAGTCCTTCTTCTATAATTGTCAATTTTCTTGAAATGCCCGTGTCGGTGTCAGGTTTTGAAACAAGTAGGTAATTGCCAAGGTCCTGTACGTCACTAATTTTCAAATTTGTCAATTCGCAGCATCGACAGGCACCAGAAACCCCCATTATTAGTGCAACCTAAAATAATTCAAAGTTCATTATATACCTAACAACATGTAAAAGGTAAAGAGATACTACCTTAATCATTAAATATTATATCCTCTCTATTCACTCTTCAAATAAGCACTAATCTTTTTATATTTTCCAATATCTATATTTTTGTAGACCTTTAAGGTCGATATTCGATCAACATCGAATACTTTGATCACATAGTAGTATACTATCACAGACAATATAGCTGCGATAGCTACTTTGTCTGTGATACTATATTAGATCTATGCTTTTTCATTTATTGTCATTACTCTCCTTTTTTCCCTCCATTCGTTAAATTCGGCGAACACTTTTTCGTAACATTCCCTGGATTTCGCTATCAATAAATGGAAAATTGCTTTTTGAGCTTCTTCAAAAACAGCCACAGGAACACAATTACTTTCTTGCATTTTTAGCAAATTCAGATAGAACTGTTTATTAAATAATTGATAATAAACAACGTACTAAATCAACCAGTAGTTATAACAAAACCTACCATGTTTTATTGAGTACTAGAAAGAAATATCAAGTTATGCGAATCTTTTTTTATTAAGTTCCAATAATTCTGACTCCACAAATATGATTATGATGTGATTATGGACAAAACGTTGTATTGCATTCGTGTTTTATCCACTTAAGAATATTAAATGCTGGAACTACGTTTTCGCGTTTTAACTTGAACAAGATTAAAAAATAAGTGTGGTATAATACTGTCCCCTATGAACAAGTTCGGGAAATATAAAAACATCAGTTTTTATTTTCAGAATTCTTATAATTTTAAAATACATAATTCTGTTCTTTCATAAAACTGGATAAGGGATATTTTTTATCAAAGCAAAATGTTTATTGTTGCAATACACTAAAATGGTCATAAGTATGTACCTACATAAGTAGGTACCTATAGTTGACATTGGTCACGACTATGTCTAAAACTATACAATTTCATGCAATTATTTTATAATTTAAAAAGCATAAATTGAAAAAGTAATCAAGAATCATTTAAGGTACAATATGCAAATACGTTATTAAAAACATATTTAATGATAATGAGTGGTATATTTTAGAAAAACTAGCCAACACAACTGTAAAAAAACTTGTAAAAACAAAGATTAAAAAAGAATTCACTCTTTAAATTCACGGGAATAACATTCCATCCAGATTAACAGTTCTGAGACTATTCAATTGCTCTACCTTTTATTCGAGTAAATAAGTAATTTAATTATAATCGTTACAGACACATGTTTGATTGTTCTATTGGCAATCACAGCCCTAGATTCCTGGAAACTTTATTGTATGAGGATTGAGAGCAGGTCAAAAGGATAATCTTATTGCTATTAAAACTTTAATAGCTGCATCTGGAACCTTTCATTTGTATGAAATAGTGTTGCATTGCATCTCAAACCATATAGTTACATATTTAGTTCTTCAGTGTTAAATATTGTGTAAAACATGTCATTTAGTAGGGCGAAACGGTTTGTTTACAAGTCCCCAGGTGAGTATTTATTTCATTTAAATATACGTGCATGGTAAATTTAATAATTATGTCATCTGTGAATTTATATAAGCATGAGAACCTGATCGATGATTTCCGAGACTTCACTAAATTTTTCCTTGTAAATATAAATCATTTTACTAGTTTCTATATCTGGTACTGTTTGCTAATGTTTATTTTCTACTACGGAAATCGTAAAATCTCAGGAGAGCCAATTTTATAAAAAAAAAAACGTGTCTGCCCTCAGTTGATATAAATTATCATAATTATTATCATCAGAATATTCCTCATACACATATAAACTACAAATTAGGGAGCGTTGGGGTGTACCTATCAAATACACTTACAACGACCTTATTCTATTTGCACTGTATATTTTCTAGAAAACTATTTCGAAATCAACCTGTCATCAACTCAGACATAGCATATACATATAAGGTTATCAATGATTTTGGGTTGCAAATTATCAGTGTCACAAACATGTTCGATACCAATTTATCTTATTTATATTACACCAAGGTAACGCGACTCCTTACACATTTTAATAGTCGCAAAGATTGCTATCTATGTTGATCCCTTGACACAAAAAATGATAGAAAGAAAGATATATACGTTTTAATGATTTTCATCATCAGTCAATTTAATCTGAGAAAATAATGTTTCTGTCACGTGTGAGTGACTATTTATTTTTAGTTTGTGATTTTGTCATTGAATATTTCTGAATACTTTTTATTAATCTAATTCAATTGACTTAGTAGGTACTTAGTTTATTGCAAATGATTAATTAATATTGATATTTGTGTTTGTTTATTTTTCATTATTTTTTGTAGTTAGTTATCGGTGTGCATATCTCCTATAATCAAGTCAATCAATCATAATACCATGGATATATTTGGTAAAACTCCCAATCCAATCTATGATTAGCTTTGCAATAGCGATGTTAAAAATATTTTAATATATGTTATTACGTCTAACTGCATTTTCTTTTTTTTTTCAATTTAGCTGTTCCAAATAAAAAATTATGAAAGATTTATTAAAGTAAAATACAAATATTCTTTGTGTTATTTTTTATTTATTCTTGAAGTTTGTATTATTATATTACTGTAAATATACACCTTGTTCCGATTTCGTTATTTCTTTGTGTTACCCTTTTAGTTAAAATTAATTTATAAAAATGCAATGTACTCCAGAATATAAAAAAAGTATAAATATTTGACATTTTCCCGTTTACTTGATTGCTGTTGAAATATTAAAAAATGATTTTATAATAAAAACTACTATAGAAAAAAAACTTATTTGGTGAAAAACTCTTCCATCTTTCACGTTTGTATTATGGCATAAAAACTTAAATTAAGTAATAAATTATCCTTAAATTTTTTTTGTATGGTGCATACGTATAAATCATTTTCATAAATATGTATATCTTTGTTTCAGATGTGGACTGTTCCCCAGCGGATTATTTGTTTTCTTTGGGACTTAAGAAAGGTTGCAGTATATCAAAATCATCTAGATTTAAAAAATCTAAAGAAGTTGACGACAATAGCCCGAGTTGTTCTCGACTGGTAATAATTTTATTAATGTCTATCGAATAATAGAATATGCTTCAGTTCTGCTTTGTTTTACTTATTTCCACGTCTATATATTGTAAGGACACTTTTTGCCATCTTTTGCCAGATATTTCATGCTTATGCCACTTCTCAAAATTTACATTTGCTTCTACTATAAATTAACAAACTTTCTTTATTTTCAGTCCCATGCCTATTATTCAGGACAAATTAACGGTGAAAATAAAAATTGCACAAAACAAACCAAAAATGCAAACAGTGAGAAATTTAATAGAAATGACGCTTTGCGAAAATCTATTAAAGCTCATAGAAAAAATGATAATATCACAGCGGCACATTATAATGCAAATATACAATGTCAAAATGATAGAGTCAAGAACATGAGCTTATGTGAGATTGAAGAGTTTATCGATGATGATTATGGAAGTATGACGAGTTCCGAAGAACTGTACGACCTGAAAAATATTGAAGACTATGAATTGAATGAAGTGTACAATGCTATAAAAACAATCCAACAAAAAAGGTGCGCTACCCCTGCAAAATATGAAACTTTCAATTTTGAAGGCACAGTTTTGAAAAAATTGGATGACATAGACAGAAACGTAAATACCATAAAAGAAGATATCGGTTATTTACCACCAACAACTTTTCTAAAAGGGTTGCACTACCACCCACCAAGGGCTGAAAATACGAATCTTAAAAGGTATTGTCAAATTCACACTGCGAAAAAAAATCGAGAGCTAATAAAAAATATAATAATACAAGCGATTCAAAAGCTGATCAGAAACTTTGAATACAAGACAAAGTCAATTAAAAAAATTAGCGAGGAGCATATATTAAATATGATTGCTGATATATATGCAACTAATAACAAGTCAAATAAACAAATTAAAGAGTTATGTAACATGACAGCTGAAGAACTTGTGGAAAATTTGAATAACATATTACAAACTTCGATATGTGAATGTGGACAAGGAAGTGAAATCGAAAATATGTGGAAAGAGCTTAAAAATGAATGCCTCACTGACAAAATATTCCACAATAATTGGAAAGGCGACATCTTGCAGAATCTAATAAAAGATTATTTGGAAAAAACTCATGAAGTTGGTCAAGAACTAGAAGAAAATATCTCAGATATTACCCTAAAATGTATGGATACCCAACAAATGGTAAAGTATTTTTCTTTACAATACAAAAATTGTTTAACTATATGTTAAAATATAAATATGTTAAAATATTTCGTTTCTTTTTCAGCTAGATGTCCAAGGAACCCTCTTAGATGAAATGAAGAATGAAATTGAAAATTTAAAATCAAATTTATTTGAGAACTGAATTTTATACACTATGTATTTACTTATTTAACAGTTAATACTTACCTAATATTTGCCACTATATCCATTACCTATTCTTAGTTAATTGGTGTATTTTTAAAATGTAAATTTTACTTAATTTGATTGATATAATTATTCACGTGTATTGTCTATAATAACAAATATGAAGAACACAGAATTTTATTTCTTAATTTAATTTAAAATAAATAATGAAAACAGAACTGTTTTTGAATCCGTGTTAAAACTGTACAGGAACCTTTTAAACTAAAGAAAAATTTGAACCGATGTACGTAAGAGGAAGAAGAAGAAGACTATGAAGTTAGCTAATTCGCTCAGTTCAGTTTACTTTTGCAATTTTGAGAGGTTAGAAATTACTTAATATTTGATTTTAAATTCAGTAAAGTTGTAAAATAAGGATTAAAAAAAAAGTTTAAAATATGTCTACTTCTATGGAAGATGTCCTTTTGCAAGTTTCTCAAGTGAGATATAAAAAAGGAGATGGTACACTTTTTCTTATGAATCAAAGACTAATTTGGATGGTAGAAAATAGGGATACTGTAGCCGTATCACATCCTTATGCTGATATTAAATGTAGGTATATGTCTTGTGTAAGATATCTTTAATCATGCAGTACTAAATTTTATCGAAGTACAATTACGATATGCTGTTCTTGGATCTTAGCTCAGAAGATTTCCCCAGAAGGAAAAGCCAAAGTACAGTTGCAAGTTGTACTGCATAATGGTATGTCATCTACATTCCACTTTACAAATAAAAATGGTTTGCAAGCTCAACTTGCAGATAGAGATAAAATCAAAGAAATGCTCCAAACCTTGTTGCCAAAGTTCAAAAGAAAGGTTTGTTATATACTTATGCATTTTATAATAAAAATATTCTTATGTATTACTGTAATGTTTGTTATGTAGGTCGATAAAGAACTGGAAGAAAAAAATAAATTACTTTCAAGCAACCCTGCACTGCTTCAGTTATATAAAGATCTAGTCATGACGGAAGTAGTTTCATCGGAAGAGTTTTGGTCTCAACATGCACAACAATACACTCAAAAACAAAAACAACAGCCTCAGGAAATAGGTCTGAATTTACCCTAATTAATTGTAGCCTAATATTTATAAAACATCTAGAAATTATTGACATAATTTTTAGGAGTTTCTGGAGCATTTCTAGCTGATATTAAACCTCAAACAGATGGGTGTAATGGACTGAAATATAATCTTACTTCTGATATTATTGAATGTATATTTAAGACATATCCTGCAGTAAAGAAAAAGTATACTGATAATGTGCCTTCAAAATTAACGGAATCTCAGTTTTGGACAAAATTCTTTCAGTCGCACTACTTTCACAGGTACGTCTCTTATAAACTGTATAATTAGTTGATTAGAAAGTGACGGCTTGTAAGGGGTGTAGGGTGACAGAATATTTTAGAAAAAATTGTTCCATGAATATATATTCTTTTAATGATCAGTAGAAACATATAATTTGATGTAATTTCTTGAATAAGTCTATTATAACATGATAATTTGGAAGACGGCTAGCTTAAAATATGGAATCATCTAAAAATTGAATATAGTATAATGTATATTATAGCATTGTAGAATATTTATAGATTATATTTGATAATGATTAAAAATAGTAATTAGACCTAGAAAATACTCTAATTTTTACAAAGTATTGTATCGACACTTGGTGGTTTGCCTACCCAGTATATATTTTCACAAGCCGCCACTGCTGATAAAATTACAATTAAATGTTACCGATAATACTTTATTGTTATCGCTAATATTAAGATTTTGTTGTGATAACATTCATTCATAGCATTAATTATAAAAATAACAGTAAATGTTTATAAATCAAGAGATCGCAAGTATGCAGAGAGCAAGGACATTTTTACTGAATGTGGCAAACTAGACGACCAAGAAATGAAAAAAGATATACAAAAAGGAGTGGATGATCCATTAGTAAATTTGACAGAATTTGAAGACAAGACTTTGGATGAAGGGTATGGTACTTCTACAACAAAACTATCAACGAATACGGGAACTGTTAGTCAGGCTATGATAAAGAGGTTTAACCAGCACTCGATAATGGTAAATGTTTTAAAATTGTTATTTCTCGCATTTATAAGTATTGTAGATAAAAATTCGTTTAATAGGTGTATTAAAACTGAGATCAAAACTTAAAACTATTACATTCAAGATGCAGTGTCAAGTATTTCATAAGACAAATTTTTTGAAAACAACATCCTAATTTTTCATTATTAATAGATTGATATATAGCAAAGTATATTGTTGTCAGGTATTGAAAGCAACAAAAAATAAGGAAAATGACACAGCTGCCCAAAACAGTACTGATTCAAAGACTTCTGCCTCAAATGATTCTACTGCAAATACTTCTGATAAACAAGAAGGTCCTGTTAATAAGAAGCAAAGGATTCTCGAAAAAATCAGTTACGATGACTTGGAAGATACTGACGAAAATAAAAATAGGGCAGCCAGTCAACTAAGTTTGTCCAAGGTAAATGTGCATGTGGATATAAAAAAAATGTCATTAAAGTATGTATGAGCTTGACTTTTAAGGCCAGCAGAATTTGCTGGCATTTATAGCCGGCTTTCACTGTAAACAAAGTAATACTTTGTCTTAGTAGGCATTGTGTAGCAGTAACATTTAAAACGGGCTACACACCATTCAACCTGGTTGGGCCAATGGACATAAAACAAAATCGGGTGTTGCATCTGGTTGCATCCACACTACTCGATTTATTTGCTAATTTAGCCACTTTAAGTCAGTTGAAACGTGAATTTTGTTTCTGCAGAATACTTATAAAATATATTAAAGACTTTAAACCAATAACCATAACTTGTAACTATAGTCTATTAAAGAAAAATCAGTGATTCTCTCAGTAAACTTTTCTAAACAATTCAGACTGGTTGGTTGATCGTCCAGTTGTGTGGTTTGCCCATACAACTTTAGTTAACGGGCAAGAAACCTACACACAGTTCGATTTTACATCAAATCGGTACAACTGTTGAATCATGTAAAGCCCTTATAAGATATGAAGTATTCTCTAGGTTATATATTACCCATACTTATAAAAATACATTATTTCGAGATTGTTCATGACTTTTTGTATATTTATAAATAAATTAAAATCTTTAAGGTTGAAAGATACTTACATGGTCCCACACCAGATGCTGCAACCGAATACTTAAATCCTAACGAGGTATCTTCAGTTTTAAGAGGAGTACTTCAAGAAACAAAACAGTGGACACACAAGCATCCTTCCAATAACTTAGTATCTCCTACCGCAGCTGTTGGAGCTTTAGGAGAATTGTCCCCTGGCGGGGCTTTAATGAGAGGTTTTCAGGAACAATCTCTAGCTCGTAAGTTATTTATAGTATCATATCCAGTTGAAAATTGGAACAGTCTACCAATATGGACTAAAAGTACCTTTTTTACTAAAAAAACTCTGAAATTTCATACTTTTCAGTCAAAAGTCTAAAAAATCAAAGCATAAAAAAGTTATGGTGAATTTTGTCTCCCTACCTCCAGTGTTGTAACGTTAGTGATGAAAATTTGTAAATTTCGCTTCAGTAGCGGACGGAGCACGTATGAGTTAAACTAGTTACCAAATTTCCCTAATTTATCTCGACTTATTTCGGAATTATTTAAAAAAAAACATCATCAGAGTAGCCCTTTTAAGTGGCTATAACTTCCTTAGGAAGAATTGTTGGACTTACATTTATATAGAGAAAAAGTAATCTTTTTTGACAGAGAACACCCTGTAGAAATATTGCCCCTAATTTCTGGAGACCCTGTATATATTAAAATTGTAATGTGTACAGTGTTTAATATTTCTACAACTAGCGCCCTCTATGAAAACCCCGGAATACCAAATTTCATAAAAATATTTCGCACCGTTTGGAAATTTTCGTAAAAATTCTAAAAAAATTATTTTGTCGCTCTGTATCTCGAAGACAAAAAGAGATAGACATAATATAGTTCATAGGACAAAAAATTCTTATTTTTTGTCGTACTATCACCCCCTGAATTTACGGAAGTTTCTGCATATTGGGAGAGATATTGAAATATATAATTGTAAGTATTTTATTCAATATCTACAAGCAAGTATCTCAATCTACTTACTTTCTAGTCATAGTCATAAAGAACGTTTTTCCATTTAACTGGTAAGTATAG